CCAGCTCCCCACAGGCCCTGGTCCTTTACACCCCAGCAACATCAGCCCTCTTATAGTTCCACATTACTCAGCCTCTTCTCCGTGCCTTTTCTCCCCCATCCCTCTGCCTGTAACAGTCTCCCTCTCTCGCTCTCGCTCTCTCTCTCTCTCTCTCTCTCTCTCTCTCTCTCTCCATGTTATTATAGACTCACACATATCTGAGGGACTAAAATGCTGTGTGATCTCCACATCTGCATAAAATTCAGTAACTCCTGGCTCTCAGTTCTTCATACTCCAGTTTCTATTACTGTTATTAGAAGCAAACCACCGCTCGCCCCCTGGAGGCGGATGGAGGCAACTGCGGAAAGAGAGGCCGCATCCTTTCCCCAGCAACAACCTCAAGCCCTAGGTCAGAGCTGATGATGCTCCCTAGGCACTTATCACCTGCCAGGCATCACGCTAATCACGTCACCCACTTGAAATATATCTGCTTTTAACAGGTATTAGTTATGCTAATATGCTTTGCCTTTCTGTAAGAATTTTACAATTAGCTTATCTGTATCTCCAAAAATTCCTGCTGAGATCTTGATGGCAATTGTGTTAAAGCTGTAGATCAATTTAGGGAAAAATGACATCTTAGCTAGATTTATACTGCATTTTAACTCACTATGTACATAAGTCTCCCTATTTATTTATTCCTTCTTTGATTTCTTTCATCCACTATTTGTAGTTTTCTGCATTTACATCCTGTACATGCTTAATTGACTTATTCCTGAGTATTTCAATGGGGAAAGGGTAAATGGTACTCTTCTTTTAAGTGTCAACTTCTAATTGTTAATGCTAGTGTAAACACTTGATTATTTATTTGCATGTTGTATTTGTATCCTACAATCTTTCTAATGTCAATGATTAGTTCCAAGAGGTTTTTTTATTTTTGGTAGGTTTAGGGAGATGGTTCAAGTTCCCTGGTACTTTCATGTCTCTGCATGAGACACAGCAAGAATTAAGTGCAGCTAACTTCAGTCTTGGTGGATGGAACACTCTAATCCTCCCAGGCCAGGAGAGCATGGGAAGCTTATGAAGAACTGCCATACAGTTGTTCTCACTGCTTCTCTATCTTTCAAGGATGCTGTCCTAGGAACGTTTCTCCTTGCCGTCTCGCAGTGATGATGAGGTATGAGGCTTTCTACCTCACCCTCGTCGGGTTGAGCTGCAGGATTTAAAACTGCTCCGCTGCAACATGGCGTTGTCTACCCAAAAACATGGTGTACTCTCACCCATTTTGAACTGTCTAAATCTAAAAAGAGCTTAGTGCTTTTGTACTTACCAAATCTATCAGCCTTCCTCATTATTGACAACAGGCTCCATAGGATTTTCTACGTAGACAATTTATTTATACAGAGATTAATTCTTGTAGTAATAGCCTTTATAATTTACTTCATAGTCAGTTGTACTGTTTATCTGGGGCTTTCTATTTAAGTCAGGAATTTCTTGTTTGTAGGTTAAGAATTATGAATGAAGCACCAAGCTAATCAATTTAGGAAATAGGAATATACTTCTTCCAGCTCTGTTTTCCCAGGAGCTGTCCTGTATAAATGGGTTGTGACTCTCCACATGTGGGATTCCTGTTAGGTACGTGGGCAAGAGGAAACATATGGAAACTTGCTGACACAAATACTAACCCACACAAACATACACCTGCCAATTTAAGAGAGGAGAGCTAATATGCATGCATGCATACATAGATCACTCATACTGAACTATTGCACATACACTAAAGAGAAGAGGAAAGAGTGCCTCCCACTAACTATGTGTTTTTACAAGGTCTCAAAGTCTTTGCTTAACTCTCTGTCGCCTTCCCAGTATTTTCACTGTAACATGGGGAGGAAGCCAGCAGAGAACAGAGAAGCACATCTATTGATAAATACTCTTTATCTCGTTGCAATGACAGTGATGGTGACAATAAAATAATAGTAAGAAACATGGATGGAGTTTTTCTTTGGACAAGGCACTCTACAGGGAGCTGCCTTTCAGTGTGTTTAATGAATCCCAGACATCTACCCTACATCAATCTATTCCTTTTTCATTCTCCCTAGCAGAGTTTCTGCAGCCCCTGATTTTTAAGATCATGCCGCACCTTCACAATGTCCCATAAATAACTCTGAAGAATTATAAACAGTGCAGGTCTGGAGGTGAGTTGCATGGGGGCATATAGGGACTCCTGGAAACTTCCAGGGTGGACAAGTATGGGAAGTCTAAAAAAAGCCGGTGTCTGGAGGGCAATGTGCCAAGAAACCAATTTCCATTGAGTTTCCACTTTCTGGAAAGCATCTAAAGAATGTCACAGCTTTGAAAATTTCCAACATAGCATTTACTGAGGTTTGAGATATTGGGGAATGTGGCAGCCAGTTAGAACTGGTTCAGGAACATTTCACTAAATTAGTTGATTGATTTTTTTTCTTACATATTATTCTTCATGCCCCTCCCTTTCCAGCAGCTCTAAGCACGTGTTGTAACACTATATAAGTCTCAGTCTCAGGTCCCACACATTGCTCTTCTGCTGCTCTGCCATCTACTGCTCTGAGGGTAATCAAGAACCATGATGCCTAAGATCTTTGGTAAGGAGGCTCCAGCCCCAAATCCAGCTTAAGTGTTATCATACCCTTAATGTATCTCTGAACCTCAAACTTAATTCTTTCCTATACAATTCTTCGCTTCCAGCCTTGTAATCAATCACCCCATGTTATCTCTAATTTCATCCAAATCTCTCTCTCAACCTGCAAATTTCAGAATCTTAGCTTTTTCCAGAGCCCTCCCTGCATTTCTGCACCTGTCAGGTCTAGACTCCTGGATCTCCAACTCTTCCAAGTTGTCAGGAACTAGACCCTATGCAGAAATGGCCCCAAACCCAAGACTGTAGAACAAATCTAAAACTAAGCCTTCCCCACACTGACCTGCCTTCCCTGAGGTTAACCTGTGGTCACGCTCCCAGCCCCATCCTTAACTCTCTTTCTTTCTCCCCCAGCACCTGTTTACCTGTTAGCCTTCCTCCTCGTCCTCCTCCAGTGTTCAAAGACAGTCACAGGTGAGTAGAGGACGGGGAAGAGTAAAGAAGGATGAGGCTACCCTTGGGAAGTAAAATTATGATTCATTGAAGGCTCCTGATCTTGGGGCGGGGGGGGGCATAGTGCCTGGTCCTCCTTGGGCTCACACAAGCAATTTCTGTCCAGATGCCCCCATCAGTCCTGGAATGTGGCTATGCCAGCTGGCCCCCAGGTGTGGGGATCGTATCTACAACCCTTTGAAGTAGTGCTGTGATGATGACACCATCCTGCTTCTGAACCGGACTCGTCTTTGTGGCCCTAACTGTACCTTCTGGCCCTGCTTTGAACTCTGTTGTCCTGAGTCCTTTGGACCTCAGAAGAAGTTTGTTGTGAAGTTGAAGACTATGGGTATGAAATCCAAGTGCTCCTCCTCTCCCATCTCCAGGAACTGCCCCAGGTAAAGGCCCCGACTGCTCATGGCTTAGGGAAGGGGAAATGAAGACCACCAAAAATTCATTAAGGGATCCACTTGCCCTATTGTTTTATCTATGACCATGTCTAGAATCTTTCCACTCTTCTCCTTGTCTGTGTCTCATAATGCCTTATGCATCTTTCTCTGCAGCTCAGAGAAACCTTTCTAGAAAAAAATCCCTATGAAAACATAGTGTTTTCTGTATACTGACACAGACCTATGTCACTATCTTTTTCAACCTATGTCATGATCTTCCTCTCAATCTGTGCCAATGTTGGGAAAGTGACAGAAAAGAAGATTATGTGCTCATCCCTGTGCTGCCCATCTTGGGACACTCAGAGACTTCCCCGCTACCTTCGCCTCCTGTGCCTCACTTTCCTCATAAATAAAGCAGGGAGGATAATGCCCATGAGCTTTTGAGAAGCATAATGAAGAGGATGCTCAAGATATAAGTTATAGGTTGAGCAGGATGACACAAAGTTATTTTCTTGAAAAGTGTGCATGCCTTTCTCAGGTATGTATTTTGAAATGAAGGCAAATAAATTACTGTATTTGCTGGCGTATAAGACGACTGGGCGTATAAGACGACCCCCTAACATTTCCACTCAAAATACAGAGTTTGTTATATACTCGCCGTATAAGACTACCCCCTCTTCCGCACACCTTCCACACACCAAATAAAAGGTAAAACAATATCAGATTTGATTTCAACATTTATATTTATATTCAAATGCTTATGACATGCAGGAAAACTGTCACAAGGCTGTATGTAATCAAACATATACATAAATCGCGATTCGCGATTTTGCGCTATCATACTGGGTGTATGGTCGGCTGTGTGCGATTTTGCGAGTGTGGTAAAATCGCATAACAGCAAAATCGCATAACAGCCGAGCATACACCCAGCAGCGCTGCTGATGCCTGAACGGTATGTGGAATGAAGTGGGCGGGCATCGGGAGGCCACTATGGCACGGGGCAAGCACTATGGGCAGTCTATCTGAAGTGTACCTGGCGTATAAGACGACCCCCCACTTGGAGGCATATTTTTCAGGGCCAAAAAATCGTCTTATACGCCGGCAAATACAGTAAAAAATAATGTAGGGTGCCAGATAGCTCAGTTGGTAAGAGTGCGAGCCCTGAACAACAGGTCTGCCGGTTCGATTACCACTTGGGCCAGTAAGCTGCACCCTCTACAGCTAAGATTATAAACAACGACTCTACTTGGAGCTGGGCTGCCATGAGTGGCCAGCGGATGGCGTGTGCTGCCTTGTGCTGCCATGAAGCTGCTGTCAGCTGCTGTGAGCTACTGTGAGCCATGGCCGGTTGCAAGTGTGAGTGGCCGGCAGCCAGCGTGAGTGGCCAGTAGCCAGCGAGAGCTGCTGTGAGCTGCCATGAGCATCCTTCCAATGGCCAGCTACTGATTGCCTCGGCCAGGAAGTGCACAATGACCATAATACCAACATGGGCCGGTGAGTGGAGTCCTCCACAACTAGACTGAGAACAATAATTCAGAGGTAGGGTGGGTGGGGGGGAATATAAATAAACCAAAGAACTGTGAAGTTTTAAAAACTGCTTCTAGACTATCAGATGACTTAATGTTGCATATATTTATGAAACCTAAACTACTCTTTTTATTTTCTTGTTTTAATCTCCTTCCACTTTTACTTATGAGGGAGGCATTCCTGCTGTAAGTTTCTAGAGATAGCTAAACACAAGACACCCAACTCTGGACAGATGAAATTGAAGCAGTTTATTATTTACATATACACATATCCTGGGAGAGGAGGACACTTCATGCAATTCAGGGTCACACAGAGGTTGCCCTTGAGAGCACTATGAAGATGGGTTTTGCAGTGTCAAGAGGGTGGGGTGACCCCTGATTTCTGTGGGTTGTTGTGATTGGCTTATTTGATATTAAAGGGAACTGAGGCCATCTTTTCAGGAATAAGCAAGAACTTTAACTGGTTCCCTTTATCTGAAGGGTTTGACTAGGTGGCCTTATCTATGGGAGCAGAGTGAGTGGGAACTTGTGGTTAAGCCATTTGAGGCCCTTCCAATTTCCCCAGGTGTAAAGGCAGCACATTATGTTGGGTCTTAATTTTAGACATTACACCGCTTGTGTATGATGGTGTTTACACATCTGTGTGCCTCTCAGATAATATAGGGCTTGTATTGGTGGCAGAATTAGAAAACAAAAAAAAATCAAAGATAATATAACTCTGTCACACAATCTAAATTTTTAAAATATCTCCCTTAGAAATATAAACATTTTTAAAAGCACATTTAGAAGCACTTTATTCCTGCTGAATTATACTTTTTATTAATTAAATTGTCCCACTTTGTAATGAATAAGCTATTTTTAATGCTAAAACCTCTTTTCTTTGAATATTGCCCTGGTTTTGTACAATTTTTTATTTTCTCCTGCTGTTGGAGGCTGTTTTCCCTGATTATTTTCATTAGGCACTGCTGGTGTGAGCTGCTGCCACCCTTCTTCCAGAGCCCCCTACCTCAGCTGCAGGGTTCCTAGGTTCACCCCTCCCACATTCCCTGCTCAGTTGTCTGGACTCAATTGCTCCTCAGAAGCTGTCCTCACTCTAATAGCCTATCCTGAGCTGAGCCTAAGTTTTGTATTTAGATTTGTATCCACCTGGACTCTCTTTTATGAATGCTATAAGATGGAATTCTAACCTGATTTTTAAAATCATTCACAATTTCCCCAACATGAAACACAGCACAATCATCATTTTTTTGCCTCTTCCAAATGAGGTCACTCCAACCTCTTTGATGAGACTCATCAATAAGTTTCAGGTTTCCTCTTGGGGTTGGGGTGAGGGAGGGTAGAAGTAGGCTTAACATGTGAAAGCATCCCCTATATAATCCACATAGATCTGCTCTGAGTAAAATTATACAACAGCGTTTCTAAACCAACCTCTGAAGAACTAGTTCTTTGAGACATGGACTTGCTTGGGCCGGCCGAGTGGCACATTGGTTGAGATCTGGGGGGGGGTGTGTGCTGGTTTGGATCCCACGTGTGAGGGCTGGTGACGCTGTCCTCTGCAGCTGAGATGCTGAACAACGGCTTTACCTGGGGCTGGGCTGCTGTGACTCGCCTGCGACGGCAGGTGGGTTGCCATGGGCTGCCGTGTGTGGCAGGCAGCCAGCATGAGTGGCCGGCAGCTGCTGTGAGTGGCCATCCAGAGGCCAGCGACTGGTCTGCCTTGCCCGGGAAGAGTGCAGTGCTGGTGCCAACTTGGGCCAATGAAGCGGCGTCCTCCGTGGCTAGGCTGAGGAACAAAAGGATAGTGACTTGTCTGTTCTCCTTCCCCCAATTCCCCAATAAAAATCTTAAAAAAAAAAAAAGACATGGACTTGCTTGAAGTTTTCTCAGGACTAAATTGACAGGGGCAGAAAGGCCTTGTTGGGCAGTTCTGGGTTCCTGGGGCCTGCACACGGATTGAATTTCTATGACTTTGAGGACATTCCCCCCTCCTCCATGAACAGTGCATAACAATACTAGTGCCTAGAGCCTGCACTTTTAAGAATGGCATTTAATTCATCTTTTAGACAGTAGAGTACCGAACTTATATTTTGGAGTCAAGAAGAAGTTAGTTGTGAGGTTGCAGTTTCTGGGTATAAAGTCATAATGCCCCTCCTCCCGCATCTCCAGGGTCTGTGACAGGTAAAGACCCCCCCCCACCTGGCTGTGGAGTGGGGATGGAAGAAAAAAGATAGAAATGAGGAGAAAAGTTTGGGTGTCTAGGCCTTTTGAGGGACCCTTTCTTGTAGTCTAATCTCTAGAAGTTACTCAAATCCTATTCATCTCCTGTCTGTGTTTTATAATTTCTTGGTTTCCCTTTCATTGCAGCAGAAAGATGTTTTCCCAGACAACATATTAAAGAAAATACAGTAGTTGTCATTTATCCACAGTAGTTTCACTTTCTGTAGTTTCAGTTACCTATGGTTCACCAGTCTGAGACTGTTAAAAATATAATATTTATATTGCATGACATTTTGAGTAGTGTGATAAAACTTTGAGCCATCTTGTTTTGTCCTGCCCAGGATGTGAATTATCCCTTTGTCTAGTGTATCCACACTTAATCGCTATCTGCCTTTTAGTAACTAAGCAGCCATCTCTGCTAACAAGGGGCCCAGCTCCACCCGTAGTCTTCCCAGCTCTATGGTTGAAGCATCTTAAGATGCCAGTTCACTTTTCTCATCATGAACAGCTTCGTCAGGCCTTTGTGAGCAACTCTGAATTTTGCTCCTATCGACAGCCTTTGGAAAAGCCCCGGGGATTGCTCGATGTAGTTTCTGAGTAAGTTCCATAGCTTCTTCCCAATAACTGGAGGTTTGTTTTTCTAAATCTCTTTTAGGATGTTTCCATCCGGCAATTCTCATCCATTGTCTGGCTTGGACTTCACCAACCAACATATTAATTAGCTGATATAAATCAGAAAGCCCAGGCTGATAAGCTTGAATAGTAATATCAAATTCCTCAGCAAACTCATTAGAATCCTCAGTTACTGTAGGACATTCCTTTACTAAAGCTTGTAACTCAGCTTTGGTCCAGGGAAGGTAGGAGATGTGAGGAATATTAGGATCCCCAGAGGGTTTAATCTTAAATGGAAAAGTACTGATAGATTCCGAGGAAAAAGAGAGAGAAGGTTCAGGAGAAGATGTTTCGGGGGCTTAGTCAGAGGTGGAGTTTGAGACACAGGAGGAGTGGGGGGAAAGCAAGGCAGTGTAGAGGAGGGAGAACACGAGGTTTCAGATGCCATTTTGTTTCTTTGTAAATTTTAAACAGTCTCTGTTAGCCTTGAAACTTTATTTATTTATTTATTTGTCATTTTTTAAAAGAAATTTCATTGGGGAACAGTGTGTTTTTCCAGGACCCATCAGCTCCAAGTCAAGCAGTTGTTTCAATCTAGTTGTGGAAGGTGTAGCTCCTTGGCCCATGTGGGAACTGAACAGGCAACCTTGGTGCTATG